AGTGGGCGTTCTGCTACTGAAGGCAGATGATAGCTATAAGGCGTTCGAGTGCCTCGGAATAGGTCTCGCATTCTGCAGTGATGCTTTATTTGACGCCTTCGATCAGCCTGGTCTACGATCCAAAGGACCCTCGGACAATACTGGCCGCAGGGAGTGTCATACAAGACCACGGCGATGTTGATGTCGCATTGGTGAAGTAAGTGGATCTACTCTTCCTTGAGAAAGCATTGTTCAGATATCGTGTGGCAGCAGTGCAGATCCCTTCAAGTGCAGAACTGTGGAATAATGTCGGCATGTGTTTCTTTGGTACCTTCGAGGGTATGTCATCATGATGAGTCAGTCCATTCAGAGAAGCAGAAGCTAGTAGCAGCAATAGCTTGCCTTAAGAGAGCGATCACACTTGAGCCTCAACGGTGGAGAACACAATTTAACCTCGGCCTGGTGATTCCCGAACTCAACTCTGTGCGAGTTATTGTGACTTTGATAGCTCCACTCGTGTACGGGCCAGTACGCCTCGGCCTTCACGTTCTTCTCGGCTGCTCTCAACCTGGATCCTAAGCACCCCCTCATTTACATGTAGGTTATCTCGCAAGATGCCAGCAGCACTCAGCCGCATACAGTGTGTACCATATAGGTATCTCGGCATAGTGTTGTCTAGGCTTGACGACTATACGAACTCGTGCAATGCATATGCTAGAGCGATTGCCGCTGCACCTTCATGCGAGGTAGGCGAGTATTGAAGGAATGGAGAAAGTCATTCAGGAGGATCCATCGACTACGGCTATCATACATCTTAACTTCGCCATTACGGCGTTGAATCATGGGGATCTGGACGAGGCCAAGAAACATTTCCTCATTTTCGATGGGCAATATCATGCTATCAAGGAGTCGGGCGGAGGAAACGGAGAGTCTCAATTCCTGTATATACCCTTCGTTCTTGTGCCTCAAAGTGTCCCCCTTAGGTCGCATTTTCCTGAAGCAACCCATAAACGCGATATTCTTGGCGCTCTGTTGTTAGGAAGATGATGGGCAGCCGTGTTCATGTGAGATTCGTGTTACATTACCACCTTGACATGCTCGT